CCATCATTCAAATCTGCAAGTGTGTTCTGCCCTGGATGCTGTTAGGTTTAAAGGCTGTTTGGAGGAATTGGCAAAATGGTGAAAGTACCTCCCAGGGGAAGCAGTTTATCATCTGCTGACTGACTTAAGGGGCAGATCAAGGTAGGAAGAGGCCCAGGACCAGAAGATTCAGAGGATTGGTAGGGCTTGGAACTGGATGATCCATCAGGCCCTTTCCAACCTGAACCGTTCTGTGATTCTGTGACTTTAAAAGGTGATTTTGCCCATCTCTCTTGAATTACTCTGCTAAGTGCAGGTGCCCACACTGTTCCCAAAATTTGTGTGGAGGTTCTGGGATGAGGTGGATAATAGTGTCAGTGCTGGAGGGTTACAGAGGGGTGCACATGGGGGCATTTTCCACAGATTCATTTACAGAGTCATAGCTTCCATTGCCCTTCTCTGTGCGACGTGACTCGGGCAGAGGGAAGGCAGCTCAGCTGTTCAGCAGCAGCTTGGTGCTGCTTCTTGCTTTGCACTGCTGCTTTGACACCAATTATCTCATTCTTTTGTCCTGGAGTCTGAGTTCTTATGATCTGGTGTCCATCGCCACTGTTGACACTGGCAACGGAATAACAGGATGCTGGCATATAACCCATTTTCTGTGCGACTTCTGGGATGACAGGAGCCCTCCAAAGAAACTGCAGCTAGCCAGAGCTGGGGTGTCAAGTTTATACAGTTTGAAATGCAGAATTGACGGCAGCCTTTCCCATTTAAAACCTTCCTGTGTTTCAGCTTCAAGACATCCCAGCGGCTGCTTTTTTTGGTGGAAGAGCGGAGCCTGATGATCTTTTAATCACCTCTGTGTTGTTTCTCTATCTGCTTTATGCCATTAGGCAAATCCTAACTGAGGAGCATGGCTTTCTGTGTAGAGATGTTTGTGAGAGGAGATGGATAACGCTGTGTTCATCCACAGGGCTGGGATTTGACCAGGCTAAGTGTGGTACCCAAGAGAAGACTGAAAATAACTGTGAGGTCCTTGGGTAGTCAATTGAAAGAGGTTGGCACCTCCCAGCTCCTTCCACTGATGTTATAGAGAAGGACAGCTGTGTTCCTAACCTTGACACAGGCATGAGTCCTGACATTAAGCAGGAAGTATCAGAACCTGAGGGAGGAATCCTCAAACACAATTAGAACTGCAACACCTCCAGTGGCAGCTTGTGATCACCTCTAATGCCAGGTCAGTTGTGTTGGACAAGAAAGCAGCAGGAGGAGGAGGTGCTGCTTTCCTCTGAACAGCCAGTTGCTGTCTCTGTGTTTAGTGTTTTGAGTGTTGGTTTGTATTTTGTTGGTGGTTTGTTTTTTGAGGCTTGGGCTGCATTCATCAGAAAGGTGTTTGTGTGAAGGAGAAAGAAACTGGAAAGAGGCATAAAATATATTGAAAATCCCCAACTTTCTTTCACAATGTTTGATTTGAGGCAGAACCTTGGTGAGTGCCGATTCCCGTTGCTTGTGTAGCTGAAAACTTTGCAGGTGCAAGTTTCCTGGTGCAACTCTGGCCTTTGCACGAGGGACCTGTGTCCCCACTTAGGAGGCCCTAGAATTGTAAGGATTTTCAATCAATAGCTCTACACTGTTTTAGGAGTTCTACAAAGTAAGCTATTTGATTTTTTGGAGGTACATAGGCATTCGCAGCATGTGAAAGTGCAGTGATTATGTTAGACAAGCATGCTGAAGTGAAAAGGAAAAATCATGGGGAAAGGCTTATTAAGCACTTTCACTTCAGAGAAAAGAAAGCAAGATTGGAAGGTGGTGGGATACTCTGTAGAAAACTATCCTGAGGGAGGTCTGTTTCAAATCCATAAGGCTAATCTTTAAAATACCAGCTTTTGCTAAGAAATTAGCTGAATGCCTGATCTTCCAAGGGAATAAACCTCTTTCAGGAGCAGCAGTGTGTGCTAACACTGGCAGCATGGTAATGTTGGAGGGGGGAATTGCCAGAGTGTGGTTCTAAGTGGTTTTGGATTTGATTTAACATTTGAAAGAGCCTGAGGATGTCCACAATTTGGATTAAAGACATAAAGCAGTTGTAGTTCACCGTGAGGTCTGCTAAAACAGAATTCCAAAAACGCGGTGTACTTCAAGCTCTGATGATGAAGTGGCTTTTATACATGCAAGACCTGAGTCTTGGTTGCTGTTTTACGGCAAAACTGATGCCTCACATCCTGTGTTCCAGTCAGATTTTTTTCAATCAAATGCTGATTATTCCCACCCTGTTAATCAGGGACTGGGAGTGAGTCACACAAAGGTCCATGCTAGAAGTAAAAGGATTATTTGTTTTGAAAGGCTTGATGCAATTTGATGCAAAATCAGTGATTTCAGGTTGGGAGGGACCGCAGTATATCGCTGATCCCAATTGCTGTTTAATGTGGGTTCAGCATAGGGTTCACATCTTGCTGCTCAGGTCCTTCTCCAATCAGGTCTGGATATGCTCAAGACATGGGCCCATGCAAACCTCATGAGGTTCAACAAGGCCAAGTGCAATGTCATGCCCCCTGGGTTGGGGCAATCCCTGGTATCAACACAGGCTGGGAGGGTGAATGGGTTGGGAGCAGCCCTGAGGAGAAGCACTTGGGGATGTTGGGTGAGGAGCAGCTCCCCATGCCCTGGCTTCAGTGAGTACTTGAGCCCAGACCCCTCCTGTGTGCTGGGCTGCACCCTCAGAGTGTGAGCAGCAGCTCAGGGAGGGGATCCTGTCCCTTTGCTGCATGAAGGGGAGACCTGAGAGCAGCTCCAGTGCCTAAAGGGGCTGCAGGAAACCTGGAGAGGGGCTTGGGACAAGGGCCTGTAGGGGACGGGCCAAGGGGAATGGCTTGAACCTGCCCGAGGGGAGACTCAAACTAGATACAAAGAAGAAATTTTTTATAATGAGAGTGGTGAAACCAGGTAGCCTGGAGAGGTGGTAAATGCCCCATCCCTGGCAGTGTTCAAGGCCAGGTTGGACAGAGCCTTGGGTGACATAGTCTAAAGTGAAGCATCCCTGCCCATGGCATGGGGGTTGGAATTAGGTGATCTTAAGGTCCTTTCCAATTCTAACTGTTCTGTGATTCTAATGAGTGCTAAGTAAGGGGGATTATCAGTGTTCCTCTGCTCCTGACTGTGCTCCTGTTAGTGGGACTCAGGATGCTGTGGGTTTCCTCTCGATGTGCAGTTTGCTCTTCACTGGGACTCCAGCATGGCAGGGCTGCTCCCCAGCCAGTCCTTAGGGGACTGCCCATGGGGTTTGCCAGCAGATGCTTGATAAACTCTGCGGCATCTCAGGGTACTGCTGGCTGGTGCTGAGGCAGCAGAAGCCTTTCTGAATGGGGCAGCAACATAAATGCATTTGGGTAAAAAAGAGCAGGTCAGAGCTCAACCTAGAGCCCAGGCCCTGCGGAGCACTGCAGGTGCCTGTGTCTGCCAGACCAGTGGCAGACGTGGTCACTGAGCACAGCCATCTACTTGGCATTAATTTCTTCAGCTCATCAGGTTTGAAATGTCCCAAGGCATTTGAATTCACTGGGGCCCAGTGTCACAGCGAGCACCAGAACGCGAGAGCAGGTGAACTGTACTTGGGTATTTTTAAGGGATGAACTTGCTCACATAGGCATTTCAGCCAGTTCTGTTATGCCAGAACGTATCTGGAGATCAGCCATCAGCTGAAAAGAAACCACCTGTAGAAACTATAAATGAGTGCAGAGACCTTAGGCTAACAGCACTGGTGATGCCTTTTGCTCTAGCGTAAGATCAGAGACCTCCAGCTTGGATTCCTCAGGGTTAGTACCAGGTGATAGCTTGACTTCGCGAACGAAGATTTGGGAAGGGCTTTGCCCACCCTTACTACAAGTGTGCTGATGACTAAAAAGGCCAGCGTGGGATAGGCAAATCCGATTGCAAAAAGCACAACGAAAGGTCTCCTTGGGTGGTGTAGGTGAGGCACGATTCTTTCTACGTTGTCTTTTCTCCTTGAGACTAATTCTGCTTGTGTTCTCAAAGGAGACAACAGTGTTATGTATGGTGTGCCTCCAGGTCTCCCGATTGGAGGCCAAGGTGGACCACTGATGGTAGTCAGTATGGCCAAGGCTGAGGTATTGTTTCAGGTAGTCCTTGTATCTCCTCTTTGGGGCACTTCTCTTGCGGCAGCTGGTGGCGAGTTCACCATCAAACACGATCTTAGGGAGGCGGTGATCCTCCATCCTGGAGCCGTGCCCTACCCAGCACAGCTGCAATTTCAGCAATAAGGCCTCAATACTGATGACCCCTGCCTGCTCTAGGACTAACATTTGACACACAGTCAAACATCCAGGGGATGTTTAGAATTGTACGGAGGCAGAGCTGATGAAAGCGTTTGAGGAGTTGCAGGTGATGGCAGTAAATAACCCATGATTCAGACCCATATAAAAGAGCAGACAGTACAATGGCTCTATAGACACTAATTTTTGTACTTTTCTTCAGGTGTTTATTGCACCAGACTCTTATGGAGTTTTCCGAAGGCTCTATATGCCTGTACAATACCTATATGCCTATATTACCAGGTATACAATACTGATTAAATGTGTTTGGGGGATTCTCCAAACTTGACTTTTAATGTGTTCCAGTTCTGAAGCTAGTCTTTCAAAAAGTAGTCGCTGAGGTTTATGAGTGTCTATCTTGTAGTGCTTAGGGGAGATGGGAGCCAGCAAATAATCATCTTATAAGCCTTTATCAGAAGGAAATGTAAGCTGCTTTTAAACATTTGTGTCTTTACTCAGAGGCAGTGGGAAATGTGATCAGATTTTCAAGTGCAGCCTGGCTGAGGCAAGGCCACAGGATGTATCGTGTCTGGCTTAGTAGAGCTGTGCTCCACATCTGAGAGAGCTAGTGAGTGGTTTCCCCATCAGAGTACATGGAGGCAGTTACACTGTTCACGATGGTGCCCCAGAGTGTGAATTAGTGATGGGCTTGATGTTTTCATTATTCTTAAAGAGATTGCAATGGTGTTTCAGATCCCAAAGAAGAGAAGGAGGAGGAGGAGGTCTCCAGTGTCCTCAGCCATGGCTCCCCTGTCAGCACAGCCAGGCCCAGCAGGAGCTGGCGCAGCAGCAGGGCAGCCACCGTGGCCCGCCAGCGGGACACCGAGAACTCGCGTGCCTCCAGATCCAAGACAGGCTCCCTGCAGCTCATTTGCAAGTCGGAGCCAAACACAGACCAGCTCGAGTACGGTACGTGAGGAGCCCTGGCATGAGAGTGCCTGGAGAGAGTCAGGTCTTGGGAAGCTTTGAAGGGAGCTGAGTGTGAGTGTAACGTTGTGAGCTGTATGCAGACTGTGGCTGGTACAGGTGTGGTGCTGCTTGGTCATGAGTACCTTCTGCCACCAGCACTCCTGGCACTGAATGTCGACGGAGGTATCTTGAGACAGATGAGCTCACTGCAGCGAACACAGATTGAAACCTAATGGTGACTTTTCCTTTCAGAGGTCACAGAAGAGCATCAGTCTCCAGCTGGAATCAGGTAGGAAATTCTTATTTTGTGACATTTCTTCCTCTTTAATGTCTCAAGAAGTTAAAATAAGGGCCTGAGTTTTCTTCAGAATAAATGCTTCTGTGAGAGGATCTGTGGATGGAGAGTAGCTCTGTTTTCATTCAGTCCTGGACCTTTGCATTTTCAGTCTGGGTTGCAGATGGACTGCAGATGTCAGGAGATACTATGGAGAAATGGATTTTAAGATTTAATCTGAGCAGTTCACCTGGTAGCTTTATTCCCTTAGGAGCAGAAGCTCTAGTTAGGTGGGTTCAGAAGAGGAGGCTGCTCTGCCTAGCTTTGTCTGTTTTGGCTGTCATGTTCTTAGTCAGTGCAGTCTGTTGGCTTTCCCCAGTCATGCTGGATGAGAAAGTGCTGTGTAATAGAGTCTTTCCAATCCCGAGGGATGATGCATGAATATTATTGCAATAGTGCTTAAGCTGTTGCTGCTAAAGTCCTTCTCTTTTTTTTGCCAGCAGTGATGACGAGGAGGAGATGCTCATCAGTGAGGAAGAAGTTCCCTTCAAAGATGATCCGAGAGATGAAACCTACAAGCCCCATCTAGAGAAGTAAATTATTTGATTACATGCTTACTGTGGGTTTAGACAAAGAAAAAGTACATTTTAGTTGAATGAGCTCAGTACTCCCCAAAGAACCTGAGGAGCTGCTAAGGTGGAATGGCTCCCACTGGGCACAGTGTTTTCTAGATACTGTCTACAGGTATGGGTCTGTTCTTCTCCAGTGGACTGCAGTCTTCAGAGCCATTCTGTCTGCCAGGTTCTTCCTTATTTCTCCTCAGAAGTGGGACTTGATAAATAGACCTGAACTTTTATCCACTTTTTGCTTTAATCTTTGTGCAAAACAGACAATGGGAGGAGTATTGGAGTAATGCATTGTATTTGTATCTTTGTAGGGAAACACCAAAGCAAAGGAGAAAAGCTAGCAAAGGGAAGGAGGAAAAAGAGAAACAGAAAGAAATTAAAGTAGAAGTCAAAGAAGAAAGTGAGTTTCGGGAAGATGAAGAACCACCAAGGAAGTGAGTAAAACTCTGCAGTTACATGTAGCAGTGTGTTGTGTATATTTTGTACTCTTGCTAGTGTACGACAGTGTTGTGGTGGTTTTCCTCCCTCCTGGCTGGGGCAGAATCTGTTGTTCTGATAGAAGTCCTGCTTCCTTGTATCTTGGCATGTTCAACAAGGAAAAATAGAGTTGATATTTCCATATAGTTTAAGATGAGGGTTTTCTCCATACTGTGGTTTTTGTCACCTTCCTGAATATGGCCACACAGTGTGAAATACTTCAGATCATTCTTAAAATTGGTTTCTGCTGTGATGTGTGAGGTGGATTAGACTATATTAGAAAGCCAGTTGGAGAAGACAGCGTCTCCTCTGTTCTGGGCCTAGAGGGAGACACGGGAATATTCTGTAAACATCCTCTTTGTACGTTTGGGACCATCGTGCCAGGGTTCAGGAGGAGCAGCGGTGTTCCCCTGGCTTTGGAGAACAAACTTTTGCTACCTGGTCGGTCAGTAGTACTTTGAGTGGAGACTTGAAACCTTTAGGAATGCTGTCTTTGGAACTTTCATCTGGCAACTGAGGTAGATTGGATTTGTGTGTCAAAGCCACTCCTTGGCATGGGGGTAAGCAGGTTTTGTACTTGTAGCTCTTGTGCGAGCAGTTGGAACAAATGGGGCTCCCTCTGCTGGTATGTGTTGTGGCCTCTGCTGCTGCAGAGCTGATCCCACTGGGGAGGGGTCAGGTGCTGATGGCATTTTGAGAACTGGTTTGGTTTGGTTTTTATTTTCCTGTTAGAAATGGCTTTCTGAGCCTCATGCTCATGGTGTTTGGCTCAGATGCTACTTTTGTGCATAATAAAACCTGTGCCTCTTCTGAAGGCTTGACTTGAATGCTGAGTGTCAGTTCAGCATGTTACTGGCATGGTCTTGCTATTAATAAAGATGTCTGAGTACAAGGTAGGAAGGACTTCCATCAACCCACTGTTAGTGTCTGTGCAGCAATATGATCCAGCAGGTGTGATGTTCTGAGCAGGATGCATCTTACATAGGTCTGCTCAGATGAGATGGATTTTTTTTTGTCTTGATAGATGTATAAGCTTCTATGGTTAATTCAGAGCACTGTAAAATTCTATAGTTAATTCAGAGCACTATGAAAGAGCTGCTAGATCATTCACCCCATTCTTCCCAGTCATGCAGATTGATGTTTTTCATGTGGTATGAAACCCAACAGAGCAGAGAAAATGAAGAGCACCATTAATTTTGGACTGTGCTGGTAAAATTACATGTTTATAAAAACTGCATTAGGAAGTGATAAAGGGTTGTGAGAGCAAAGCACATGAAGCATCTCTTTCTCAAGAAGGCTGTCTTCATCTGAATCTGCCTCCAAATTGCACTTGATGGATCTTGCAGGAGCTCACAGCTCATGAGGCAGCAGCTTGCTACCTGTTTACAGCAGAAACTGAGCAGAGCAGAATCTTGTGTGCTGATGCACAGCCTAGAGAGGAAATTTAATGACAAGGGCGCAAGTTGTTCACACGGTTGAGGTTTAAAAGAGAAAATGTGAAGTGTGTGATGCCTGATAGAGGCTTTTTTACAATAGCCCTTCCTCTCTCCGTGGTGGCACAAGGGTTGGTGGCTTCTGACCACAGCCTCTTGGGTTGTGGCTGTCCCACAGCCACGCGGATTCCAGTGGACAGGTATCAGTGGTCAGCTGAGACACATCTGAGCCAAGCCAACCACATTCAGCAGCATAGTATGCCAGACCATGTAGCTGCAGCCTCACTGTTGGCATAGGCAGTGGGATTTGAGGTCAAAATCCAGGTATCAGACACATGGGGACTGCAGCCCCATAGGAGGGTGCTCTGTGTGGTGTGGCAGTTCTGCGAGGTGCAGGGACGGTTTGCATGGAGGCCTGGTTACACCACTTCTTTAGGGAACCTGCCCAACTATTGTAGGAGTGTTTTGTTAGCAGCTCTGGAGTGTTGGGAGCTGGTGCAGGTGCTGACTTGCCAGATGCAGTGTTACTTTTCAGCCTGGAAGTGTGTAGTGCCTGGAAGAGTTCTGTAGTATTTCCTGCAGCATGCTCCTGCTTTGTAGCGTGCACTTCAAAAACTCTGCCTGCCACCAGTGTAGAGTCTTTCAGTTCTGTTTCTGTAACCCTGTTGCAGGAGAGGAAGGAGGAGAAAGGATGACAAGAGCCCAAGGCTTCCCAAGAGAAGGTGAGTGATCCTCTCTCAGTTCTGTTCTGAAGACTTGCATCTCTTGTGTCCTGCACAGAGATGTTGATTGTCTCAAAGCCATCTCTCCTGCACAGTGTAGAAGTCTGCTTTGAAGATGGAGAAGCAGTGTGCTTTGTCTTCCCTTCTTCAATTACCCCTTCTCCCTGTAGTTGTGGGGTTTTGATTTCTTCCAACTGAACCGGCCCCTCCCACCTTCTCCTGACCCCACTTCTGAGTTCATCCCTTGCTGGGCATTGCCCAGTGAAAGGTTTGGGAATTCTGTGTCTCCTGGAGTTTTCTCAGCAAGTCCTCAAGGAGGGGAAGGAACTCTTGGACAGAGTCTGTAACAGCACAGCCCAAACAGGAATATTGGAGCAGTAATCCCTTGCTCTCATATCATGGAGCTGCACTTGTGCTTGTTTCTCTTGCTGCTGCCCTGGCTTCAGACCCCAGAGTTAACCGGGGCCCATTTCCTCACTGCCGCTTTAGGAAGAAGCCCCCGATACAGTATGTGCGCTGTGAGATGGAAGGCTGCGGCACCGTCCTGGCTCACCCGCGGTACCTGCAGGTTTGTTGACATTCCTCAGCTCCCAAATGGTGTGAGGGCAGGGATGGGCCGCTGGAAACTGGCAGCTAATTCTTACCCAGCACTGAAGCGCTCGTTTCTGATGCTGTCTTTTTGGTAGACGTACTCAGTTGTGGCCACATGTATCTCTCTCTGTCCTGTTGCTAGATGTCCACATTAGTTTGGCTTTCTTCTCTCAATGGAGATCAAAGCCTTTGTGTTCATGGTGTAAGGGTGTCTTGTCATTGACTGGAGTCTGGTAGCCTGCTGAGGGGTTCCAGCTGTCTTCTCAGCCATGTAGAGAGAGTGTACAACCTTCCACTCTTTTTTTATAGCATCACATAAAGTACCAGCACTTGCTGAAGAAAAAATATGTGTGTCCTCATCCCTCCTGTGGTCGGCTCTTCCGACTCCAGAAGCAGCTGCTGCGGCATGCCAAACACCACACAGGTACAGGGAGGTGGGAAATGAATACAAACTGCTCCTTGGGACAGTGAACAAAGAGGGGAGGAAATGGAAAAGCCCAGAGGCTAGAGGATTTCTGGGGAGCGTGAAGCCAAGGCAGATGGCATAGATGTGCATCGGCAGCAGGGTATTATTTCCTTCTGGATTATGATCTTTATAGCCTGTTTGTTTTGTATTCTTAAGAGTTTTTAATCACCCCCTGGCAAGTATCACTTGGGAGTTCTGTAGAACTCCAAGCTTTATCCTAACTTGCCAGTCCTGCAGTATCAGTCAAGATGGATGATTGGCTTTTAGGAGAGTCTTAATCATGTGTCAACTAGCCAGATGAGCTGCTGTGGTATATTGTGGGACTCCCGCTCTGCTATGCCTGCTGGCTTCCCAGCACTTCTGGTTCTGCTGCTGCTTCAGCAGCTTCACCTGCAACATGTGAGAGCTCAAAGGGGAGCAGGTCTGCAGGAAAGTAATGCTCCAACTGGTATTGCTTTTTAGATCAAAGGGATTACATCTGTGAGTACTGTGCCCGGGCGTTTAAGAGTTCTCATAACTTGGCGGTGCACCGAATGATCCATACGGGCGAGAAGCCTTTGCAGTGAGTACTTCTGGCTGTCTCTTGCTCCCCTACTTTGAGGGACCCTTGGATGCACCCGTTCATGGACTCCACTGAGAGAAAGGTTGGCTCTGAAGTCAGGGCTGGAACTTGTTCATGGTGTCCAAGCACTCCTTAAACACACACCTAAAGGAGTGTTTGAGCTGCCCCTTCTCTTACATACTCCTTGAGTTAGTGTCTCAGGAGAGATCTGAGGAATATAACCCCTCTACAAATTAAAACTGGAAGAGCTGGAGCTACCGTGACATCCTATTTTAGTGAGCCCTGGCTGTTTTCCTGGGCTGCCTCCCTGCTCTCCTGTTCCCACAAGTGTGTGGGCACATCCCTTTGTTGTGACCTCCCCTTCTCCCCTCCCAGGTGTGAGATCTGTGGATTCACGTGCCGGCAGAAGGCTTCCCTCAACTGGCACATGAAGAAGCACGATGCGGACTCCTTCTACCAGTTCTCCTGCAACATTTGTGGCAAGAAATTTGAGAAGAAGGACAGCGTCGTGGCCCACAAAGCCAAGAGCCACCCTGAAGTGCTTATTGCTGAAGCACTGGCTGCCAACGCGGGTGCCCTCATCACCAGCACTGACATCCTGGGCACTAATCCTGAGGCCATTGCGCCACCCACTGATGGCCAGGGCCTGCCCCTGCTTCCCGACCCCCTGGGAAGCACTGCCCCTGCGGATTGCCTGCTGCTCAATCCCGACGGGATGCCCAAGACGTTCTGCGGTGCGGCTGAGCGCGTGAGCCTGGTGGCTGACGGGAAGCTCTTTGTGGGCAGCGGCAGCAGTGCAAACCCCGAGGGGCTGGTCATGAACACCGAGATCCTGGGAGCCACCGCTGAGGTGCTCATTGAAGATTCAGACTCCACTGGACCCTAGTGGGCGGGAGCAGGCGGGTCCTGGGACAGTTTGGATTCTGTATTTAAAAGGAGGAGAAAAGAGAAAGAAAGAAAAAAGACACAGAAACAGAGGAAATTTAAACAAATCTCACAATTCTAGTAAAGAACTGAAGGGTCTGCTCCCCTCCAGCTTGGATCACAGCACATCCTCTTTCTCCCAACCACTTCTCTCTCCCACTACCCCTTTGCAGAAAGGGGCACATGCTGCCATTACCAGAGCAAGTTGGATTGAGTGACATATTTCTCCAAGGGAGGCGGGGGGGAGAAACTGCTGAAGCCCTTCCTCTAGCCCAAAGTAGATGCCTTTCTGGCTCCTTGATGTGGCACCATTTGCAAATTAGAAAGCATCTGATGTGCTCTGTACAGGTTTCTTAAGACTCCCTCTTGCCCCTGGTCCCAACTTCTATGCATCGCTGCACTCTGGTCCTTGCAGTCTCTTTCTTCCTCCTGGGGCTGGGAGTTTGGTTTGGCACTTTAGGCCCCTCACGTAGCAGGGTGAGCTCCGGAACAGGCACATCCCTCTCCCCACTGCGCTTCTCTGCTCCAGCTCTGGCAGGAAATGGAGGGAACGCCCTGGCTCATAGATCATGTTTGCTTGGAGAGGCCCGGGGGCTACGGGAGCCCTGCGTGGGAGAGGCGAGGAGGAGCATCCCAGTTTGACGACAGTAATTTGCACTTTGAACATGCTTCGTTTTTGTGTTGTGGTAACAAGATTCGTTATTTATTGATTAAAAAAGGGTCGGTATTCTTTAGTTATGTTTGTAGGGGGTGGGGGTGGAAGGGGTTCAGGCTGTTTCCCAGGCTGCTTCGCACCACTGAGCTGCGGGGAGCACGTCGTGCCATTGGAACAGCAGCTGGGAGAGCCGAGGTGAAGGCAGCCTCTGGAGTCAGATGTGTCTCGCAGCTTTTCCAGAGTAGAGGGAGAGCCCTTGGAGAAGAGCCTGTTTGCAGTGGGAGCCTCTGCAGCAGTGTTTTAGCAGGAGGATGAGGTGAGTGATGGAACAGCTGGCTCTTGCCTCCCTTCCTCCCTCCCTCCCAGGTCGGGGGGAGCTCCTTGCATTAAATGCTCTCTTTGCCCTCCCTTGCTCCCTAGCTTGTCAGGGAAAAATGTCATTAGCCAGGAACTTGTTCTTGAGACTTAGGACAGTTGTGAGCTGCTTGCTGCTGAGGGATGTTGTGCTCCTCATCCAACTCTGCCTCTCCTTTCCAGGTCTAGGCAAAGACACAGAAGGAGGGGCTGGAGAGGGTGGTTTGTCCATGGCAATAGACTGACGCGGGGCTTGGGGGCTGTCGGCTTCTCTCCCTGACCCTGTTTTGTGGGGAGGGTGTTGTGCACTGTGTTCCCAGAGCTGCTCTTTCCCACCCAAACGGTTCTGCTTTCCATGAAACACGGCGGTTCGTGTGTTGCCGTGCAGTTAGGATAGCACTAAGCCCTTGGAAAAGTTTACGTAGGATACCATGTGTCTGCTATGGAGACTTGGATCTTTTTGCCCTTATCTGACACTTTGTGTGGTGATTCAGTGGCCTTGAATTCCTAGTGCTTTTGAAAGAGGTGAAGGAAAACCTGGGCTTTTTGGTTGGTTGGTTTTTTGGTTGGATTTATGCAGTTGGGAGCAGAGCCGAAGTATCTTGCAGTATTATGAGCACATAATCAGCTGTATTGGCTTGTAGCACACAGCAGCTAGGCAAAAGTGGGTGCCTGGGGACTGGAGAACAGCAGTAAAACAATGGAATTTAATTGGGAACTACTTACAGGAAACTGACTCTGAACACCCACACTGTCCCCTGTGCTGCCTCGAAATCCAGCTGTGGCCCAAGCCTGACAGCTTCTACTAGGCCGTTTGTCCTGATTTGCCCCCTCCCTTTCCCCCTTACACTAGTATCTTTGGCAGAGCAAGTTCAAACACTTCTGGTGTTTGTGGCTGAGCAGCTTGCACAGTGTCTGTGCCCTGGGTGTGGGCACCCCCTGTTCTTGCACTGTGGCAGAGGTTCAAGCCTCTCCTGGAGATAAGGATGAGGGCCCAGTGCTGAATGCCCATCTCCCGGGACAGCGCACATCAGGTCTGCTGCCATATGGTGTTAAACTAAGCCAGTTTCTTCAGTTGGGATGATCCAGTTTCTTGCTTGGATCATGTTACCGTGATTTCCAGAAGGAAGCTTTTGGGTGCCCAGCCAGTGCCCTCCCCTTTGCAGACTACAGAGAAGCAGCAAGATGCAATGTGTTCAAACCCAAACTAGCAGTGTGGATCTCATGTCGGGTTAGTGTGGGGCTTGCCGAGCCGTGTTGTGCACGGGCGTGTCTGCTGGCTCCTCGCCGCGGTGCCTGGTCCTGTGCCCTGCCCCATGCCCATGGCACAGCCTTGCTAAGGGCACTACAATGAGACTCGTGGGTTGCTGGCACTAAACTGCTGTCGGGTCAAGATCTTGCTCCCCTCTGGTTACCGACATGTGGCACCAGGCTGGGAGGCAACAGGGGCTGCCTCCTTCTGCGACTTCCCCAAGCAGGGCCAAGAGCTTGCCATGGGGTGGGGAATGGAGCAGCCCCTTTGCTTCCCAGCCCGGACACCTCTGCTCCCTGCCACTCCCTGCCCTACCCTTCACGCACACCTCTTGTAGCAATCCTTTTTCTTTTCCTGGTCTCAGCCTCTAACCAGAGCCTGCTGTCCCTGGCGCAGGAAAGGTGGTGCAGCTCCTCTCCCACTCCCATTTGAAACCCTAAAACTGACAGAGCCCCCTGCAGCTCCTCCTCCCCTCGGTGTCTCCGTCACTCGCATGCAGTTCGCTTCAATAAATTATTGTAGTAGTTTGCAATAAACTTTTTTGTATTCCCCCCCCTCCCCCCGTATTTATTTTTTCTCTCCTCCCGGGGAGGGAGTGGAGGGAGCCCAGGGCACTGCGCCCGCGCTCGGCTCCGGGCAGGGGTGCCCTCGGGGGCCCTGGGGTGCGGGGTTGAGGCTGGAGTCCCGCAGCGCTCTCTGCAGTAGCCACCAGGTGGCAACGACGCTGCTGGGTTTGGCCACCGGCCCCGGGGCTCGGCAGGGGGCTCGCTGTGCTCCCGTGCCGCAGGGACATTGCTCTGCAGCTCCTCTTGTTTCTCTTAATCTAGGTAATGCATAACCAAAATAAATGTACTGAGGAAAAACCAAACCAACCAGCAGGGCTGTTTTTGTCTTGGTGCATGCAGCTCACCTGCGGAGGGTGGCTGGGACCGTCTCCTCCTCTGTCTGCAGGACCCCTCTGGGAAAGGGGGTTTAGACCTGGGTGACCCAGTCGCACACAGCCATGGGGTGAATAAGAGGGCTGGATGTGGCCGGGACAGGCCTCTGCAGCCTTCTGCTGGGGTCTGGGTTGCAGCGCAGACTGCAGCTGGTGCTGGAGCTCCAGCCTGGGGGTTCCCCTCACCCCCTTGCTGGTGAGCCCACAGTGCTCTGCCTTGCTCAGGCCCCAGCCCTGCCGCCCAGGCCGAGGTGCTGAGCAGTGTCCGGGCTCTGCTCCCCTCTTCCCAGCAGTGGTTTCCCACTCTCTGGCTCTGCCATGAGCCGGGGGGATTAGCGTGCTGCTCATGGCACTGTGCGGCTGGTAGGGAGGGATGGGTCGTAGCTGGGGTTGGGAGCCTGCTGCTGCCAGGCAAGCCTGTTCTGGGCAAGGCGCTTGGAGTGGCGACGCATGGGGGAATTAGGGAAATAATCTGTTGCCGTTGATCCCAGAGGCGGGAATTTGCACCGTTGTGCCAGGCCCCAGGCGCAGAAGAGGGGGAGAGCCAGGCCAGCAGACGTGTGAGTGGAGCTCCCGGCTGGAATGCACCAGCTCAGCAGGGGATTGTCCTCCCCGGGCCGGGCAGGCGCCGTGCCCTGAGCTGGGTGCCCCGGCTGCCCGCGCCATGGCTGCAGCAGACAGCGCCTCAGCCACGCTCCGGCGCCGCGACCTGTGCAGCCGAGGCATCCGCCTGGCCGGGAAGATGCGCTCGGACGTCGTTGACCTCCTGGACACCTATGTGAGTTTGCGCTGTCACCACGGCCCTGCACGGCGGCCGCTGCCACCAGAGTCCAGGGGGCTTTCAGCAGCTGGTCCATGGTAGGGACGAGGGATGAAGTGCAGCTGGTAACGGGGCCTTGGCGCTGCTGGGCAGTGCGTGGGCAAACCTTAAGCACCAGCTCCTGCCCTTGCACTGCCTGAATGTCCCCTGGCCAGCCCTGAAGCTGAACCGGGGCACCCTGGAGCCGGGGTTCGGGCAGAATGGGGGTCCTCTGTTTCTCCTGCCGCTGGCAATTCCTGGCTGCTGTCGTCCCTGCAGGTGGAGCAGCAGGGCCTGGATGCATCGGCCAGCGTGGCGGCGGTGGAGGGGGTGCCGGTGGCAGCGGTGGAGCGCTGGGATGAGCAGACGGGGACCCAGCGGCTGCTGGAGAACCTGGCGGCATACCGGGTGTTCCGGGCCCTGCTGGCGCAGATGCTGGAGGAGCAGCAGGAGCAGCTGGGGGAGGCCGATGCCACGCTGGGCCGGGCACTGGCGGCCGTCCTGCTCCAGGTCTCGGCCTTCACCTACCACCTCGAGGAGCTGCTGCAGCTGGAGAACCGCGGCCCCCCTGCCGAGGAGGCGGCTGTGCTGCCCGTGCCCCCCCCGCTCAGCCTCTTCGAGAGGAAGCTGCGGGGCCTGGGCGTGCTGCGGGAGCTGGCCCAGTGGGCAGTGAGGTCTGTGCGGGACCTGCGGCAGCTTGCCAAGCCCAGCCCGGGCAGTGGCACAGGCCCCAGCCCAGCCGAGAGCCCTTGAGGGCAGGCAGGGGGCAGGGGTTGGATCCCGCAGAGTGGGGGGCTCCTTGCCCACCTCTGCAGAGAGCTACTGACAGCAGAGGAGGTTGTTCCGGGAGGGGGGTGGACGGGAGGGACCGTGTCACTGAACCCTGGCACCCCCACGCTCTTGGTGCTGTTCCCTGTGGGAAGCTGGGCATGGGCCGCACTCCGTGCTGGAGGGAGCGAGGAAGCCGATGTGGGGCGAGCCTCGGGGGGTGCAGATGTTCCCTGGGAAGCAGCTTTGCCGCTCGTCCCAGGGCCATGGCCCCCAGGGGGCTGTGGCAGTGTTGGCCTTTTCTGTGAAGCCTGGTCACTACCCGGCTTGCCTTGGCTGTGCAGGCAGGAGCTGCCCCAGGGCTGTGTGGAGGCAAGGCAGGAGTGAAGGGACAGAAATGTCACCTGGTGAAGGAGCCTCAGGACATGCCCCCAGCTGCAGGACGCAAGGCTTGACCTCCTTCACGCGTGCTCTCACCTGGCTCACAATTACTGTGTTGGAATTTCTGCTCTAACTGCTTGTTGTTTTTTTTTTTGCGGGGGGGGGGGGGGAGTGGGGGTATGATCAAGAGGGGATTTCTTAGTCGCTTGGACAAGGTAACGGAGAGGATCTTTTAGCTGAAGGCTGTGATTCAGAAGACCCTCCACAAGGAGGTTTGTGCTTCCAGAGGTTACTTTGGGACTGGGATCAGCATGGAAGATGAAACAGCTGAACCACATCGCTCACCCCGTGAACGGGAATGCCCACAACCATGTTTTACTTGCTGAATGGATGCGATGACTTCAAAGCAAATAAAAGGGATGGGTTATCTACTATGATGACTGGGACTTCTTGGGGAAGCCTGGGCTGCCCCCCTCCTACCCCACCCCAAGGGAAGGTCGGTTCCAGTGGGGTGGGAGGTTTGGGGGGAACGGGACCTGCTGGGAGGCCATGAGGAAGATGAGGGAGATGGAGGTGGCAGGAGGAGGATGGGGGGGGGTGTCACTGAGACTCTGCCCCATCCTAATGTGGTCCTGCTTCCTGACCTGCATGAGGGAGGCAACGCGAGGGGACAGTGGAGGCATGGGGTGGGGAAGTGGCAGCTGGGGACGTGCCCAGCGGGCTCCATACAAAGAGGCTTTCCTGTGGGTGGTGGCAGCACTGGGCCCAGTGCCTGCCCCAGGGCCAGGAGTGTCTGTGTGGGCGCTGGGTGCTGTGGTAGGACAAAGGCTGACACTGAGCTGGGGCCCTCAACTCCCATGCTGCCCACTTGGGGAAGGTGGGGCCCCAGGGATGGGGCTGCCCTGTGGCACTGGGGGTGGTTTGGTAGCACCCAGTTGTTTTGTGGGTGATGCCCAAGAGGTAAAACATGCACCTTCTTCATCACCACTTTCTGCCTGACCTCAGTTTTGCAGCTCAGACTGGATTATTTGCAATGTTTCTGCTTCTGGGAACAACAATTTATGGCATTTTTTTTTTCGTGATTAGTCAAAGTGAGCCCCTTTCTTGGCAAATGTTTCCCAGTTTCAGCTGCTTTGTGTTCTTGAAACCATCTTGCTCTTCCCTTGCAGCCCCATGCTCTGCAGCGGCTGGATGCTCACATCCTTGCCCACCCGCTGCCCATCACCTTCCCGCAGGCAAGCACAGACATCTTGAACACCGCACATCCAGCACCAAGTCTTGCCACCCGCACAGGCAGGAGCATAGAATCATAGAACCGACCAGGTTGGAAAAGACCTTTTAAGATAATCAAGGCCCAGCAGTGCCAAGGCCACCTCTAACCCATGGCACTGAGGCCTCGTCTCCACGGTGTGTGAACACTTGCAGGGCCGGAGCCTGCAGCCCTGTCCTGGGCAGCCTGTTCCAATGCCTGAGCACCCTCTGGGGCAGGAATTGTTCCTCAGCTCCATCTAAACCTGCCCTGGTGCAGCTTGAGGCCGTTTCCTCTTGTCCCATCCCTTGCTCCTTGGGAGCAGAGCCCAGCCCCTCCTGGCTCCATCCTCCTGTCAGGCACTTGTAGGCAGCCATCAGGTCCCCCCTGAGCCTTCTCTTCTCCAGACTGAGCCCGCGAGGTCCCTCAGCCCTTCCCCATCACACTTGGCCTCCAGGCCCTGCACCAGCTCCGTAGCACTTCTCTGGCCCTGATCCAGCACCTCAATGTCTCTCCTGTAGTGAGGGGAGACCCCTTTTATCCCTTTGCAGTTGCCCGGGTACGAGGTGACCTTCACATTCCCTGGAAGCAGGTTCCAGCAACTTGATCCTCCTGACCTGGGGCTGGCGGTGCCATGAGCTCAGCTTGGGCACTGCTGCCACGCTCTGGGAGTTGGAATAGCACTGGGGGTTGGAGGTGGATGGGGATTGAAAGTCGATGGGGATTGAAAGTGGATGATGCTGCTCCAGGGGCTTCCCGGGGCTGTGCTCAGCAGCACCACTGCCACCTTTGCAGCCTCACTCATTCCTTCCTTGCTGGCAACACTAGGTGTGTCTGTTTGCAGAGCACCCGCAATGCTTTGAAACGGCCACGATACAAAGGAACAGCATAAGAACACAAGCCATAGGCCAGACCTGCACCTCTGGCTGAGTGAGAGGCTCTGGAGCTCTCCCTTCCAGCAAGCCCCCACCACGGAGCAAATACGTGGTGATGTCCAAAGGGAACTGCGGGTGAACTCACTGGTGAGAATGGTGGCACCTGATGGCCAAGCTCTCTTACTGCTGGGAGGCCCTTTGGGCTTCTGTTGCTGTGGGCTGAAGTTAAGTTGATCTGGGTGAGGTGACTGAAGCTGTTGATCTTGGAAACAGATACGAAGAGCTTAAGGGGAGCACAGTCATACCCACATGGCTAAAGCTACCGAGGACCCTGAATGGCCTCCTGTAAACTAAATACCCACCAAAAAGCCATCTGAGATTGTGCTTTGGGAAGAGATAAAGGATTCGCAGTGCTGGTGGGAATGGGGAAGGGGTGTGTGTGTGCTCCCTAATTGCAGGGGGAAGGAGCCACCAAACCACCAAAATAAACCCACAGATGTGTTTAATTAAAAAAAAAAAAAATCTTTGGGCTTAACATGTGGTTGTGTTGGGCACCCTTTGTGGGATTGAAAAGGTTTCAAGGTGACTGAGGCAGTTCCCTGGCCTCAGGCATGCCCATACTTGGGTGCTGGCATTGGTGCTAGGTGTTGGGAGAGGATAAATTCACCATGCACCATCAGCCCCAGCAGCTCTCCCAGCCCCTTCCACCATCCTGCACCAGCATTATTGTGCTGGCTCCTGACACTGTGATCCTGAGCCAGGGGTGCTGGGATGTTCACCAACACTTTCGTTTTTAATAGCAGGAAAACCTTTTCCTCCATCCTGAGTCAGCAGAAAGGATTTCCCTGGGTTTCCCTGTTGTGGCTTTGGCTGCACTCTCTGTCCCACAGGAGCGGGTGAAAACTGCCAATGCCACACTGCCTTCCAGGGAAGAGCTGGCATCTCCCTTCTCGCAGGAAAGCACACTTCCAGCACAGCCCTGCATGTCTCTGGGAACAAGCTGGAAGGAAAGATGTGCTTGAACTTCTGTGGTTTGCCTCCTCTTTCATCATGGTGCCCACCAGCTGGCAGCACCGCAGTTACTCTCCACCTTTTTCTTTCCCACTTTTTAGCTTCCCTTCTTTTTTTTTCCTCTATTTAGAGCTTGCCTAATGGTTTCTCACCACAAACACCGCTGGCAGTGCCTGGGAAACAGGTTTGCCAGGAGAGGAGCTGCACTGAGAGCTCAGGAACATCGAGCAGCAGCACTGTGGGCCCCATGGCCGGGCCTCTAAGATGACATTGACAATGAATGGGAGATATGCCAGTGCTGGAGAACCTGTGCGCGGATTGCTCAGCTCTCCCTGAGCCAGGTAATGGCTGTTTCGTTTAATAGCCAAGAAATGGTTTTGTGTCTGAGCAAGATGGTCACCAGATGAAGTGCCAGCCAGCACTTACTGTTGCCAACACCCTGCTGCTCAGGGGTGCTCTGGGAAGCTGCTCGTGGGGCTCAGTGGAAGAACAAGCTCAGTTGACTTTTCTGGGGCTGCAGGAATGGGGCAGTGCTGATTGCTCCACTCCCAGGGAGTCCCGTTAAAGCAGAGGTGCCCACGCACACCTCCGGGGGAGTTGGGGTTTGTCTGCACCCGTTCCAGTTTGCACAGCAAAGCCCCGAGGCAACACGGAAGCTACAGGAGCATCCCGAAGGATTTGCAGCCTCGTGCTAGGCTGGAGCTGCGTGTGAACTTCCCAGAACCCTCCCGGGGCACACAAGCGGTGTCCGGCAGCCCGGTCGCGGGCGCTGGGGTCCGGCCCGGGTGCCCGGCGAGGCACGTGTCGATCCTGGGCTCTGAGCTCAGCTCCGTTCACGGCGGGCCGTGCCCAGGCAGCTACCGGGGCAGGTCCCTGCCAGCCAAGGCGCTCGGACCCGCGGCTCTGTCGCGGCGCTGGACGAGGGTCCGGCCCCGACGTTCCGCCGCGTCGGGCACGTGACGGGCTGTCGCACAGCGGCGGGTGCGCACCGGGACCCCCGGCCCGGGCGACGCCGGGGGCCCGGGGACTGCAGAGTCGGGGCACCGGGACACGGGAAGTGCGGCACGCGAGAGAGGGGCTCCCGGGTCCGCGGGGTGCGTGGAGCCGAGCCGCACCCAGCTCCGCCGCCCCCCCCGCGGGAATGGTTCCTCCCGGCCGCGCTCTCCCACTCCAGCGGGTGCTCGGCGCCGCCGGGCCGGGCCGGGCCGGGCGTGGTTACGTCAGGGCTGGCTCCGCCCCCCGCTGCAGCGCCGAGGGGCGGCCCCCGTGTTCCGCGCCCGCAGGAGCCGGCCCCGGGGTGGGGGCGGGCAGCGTCCTGCGCCGCGCCGAGCATGCGAGAGCCGGCGAGCCGGGCTGCAGCGGCCGCGGTGGCGGAGCCATGCTGCTGGCCTCGGCCGTGGTGGTGTGGGAATGGCTGAACGAGCACGGGCGGTGGCGGCCCTACAGCCCGGCCGTCAGCCACCACATCGAGGCTGTGGCCCGCGCCGGGCCGCGGGCAGGCGGCAGCGTGGTGCTGGGCCAGGCCGACAGCCGCCTGGCGCCCTACATCATCGACCTGCAGTCCATGCACCAGTTCCGCCAGGACACCGGTGAGTCGGCCGGGCCGGGCCTCCCGCGCTACCCTCGCGTTGATTTGCGCCGCTCGACCTGGCTGCACGTTGCACCGGGCCCCCGGTCTGGCCTTGCCGTTGGACGGCGGCCGGGGCGCAGCACTACCCGCGGCTCTCGGCTGCAGGGTGCTCCATGCTTCGGATTTGAGTTGCGCCGCTCGGTGCCGGCCAGCGGGGCCGGACCTTGCACTGCATCGTGCTGACCGCTCTGCAGTTTCACCGCACCGCGCCACCGGGCCCAGCCAGCGCTGCCCGCCCTGGTCCCTCGGGCAGCCCCGCGCTGCCCTGCTCGGTCAGGTGCTTTCCTGCCTGCCACCATTGGTCCGGAGTCGTTCTGCATCCCAGGGCCCTTGCTGCATTGCACTGGTTGGTGTGGATTTGCTTCGCTGCCAGGTCCGGTGTTGCATGGCGCTGCCAGACCTGGGCTTGCCTTGCACTGTGTTGCACAATGCTGTGCTGCCGGGCCCCATACTGCATTGCCTAAGCCGGAGCTGGGCTGTACTGCGCTGCCTTTCCCAGTCCCGAATCACATTGTGGTGCCTTGCCCTGCCTTACATCCCTTCCATCCCATCACCCACTCTGCCATCATGTTGCTGGCTTTACTGTGCTGCTGGGTGCTGCACTACATTACACTGCTTGATCAGGGATTGCACTGCCCGGTCCCATACGGCACATGGATTTGCCTTGCACTGCCCTGTGCAGCTTGCCCTGGAATAGCACAGCTCTGCTTCTCTGTACCCAGCACCATGCTGCTGCCGAGCCCTGCCTGATGCTGCCTGAGCCCATGCTGCCTGGCATCACCTGCTGCCAGCTTGCGTTACGCCGTCCCGCCTCGTCCCCCCCAGGTGCTTGTCATATCGTGTGCTGCCCAGCCTTGCCTGTGCATTCCTGGTCCCATATGGGGTCATGCTACCTGGCCTCCTCCCTGCTGCACCTCCCTGAGCCCTGTTGCACGCTGTGGCCTTTTCCTTTCCTGCTTCACAGCCCCTTTGTGTGTGGAGCCTGTCCTCTGCAGACCCTGCCCAGGCCGTGTTCCACCATGCCTAGCTGCCTCTGCTACCCTAGGGCTGCCGCCAACCCCAAAGACCCTGTGCTATGCAATTCTTGTGGGCCAAATTAAGGCATAGGCAGGTGGGAGGTCCCCAGGGTGATGGTTTGGACAGGTGAAGCAGTATTCGGTGTGTGGGGGAAATGAGCAGGCACTGGGGGGGTCTACAGGGTAGGGTGCCTGGAAGGGCTTCCAAAGTGGTGGGACATGTATGGTCTTGGATGTGGGTCACAGGCATCCATGGGGGAGAGCTTGGTGCAGGGGATTTGTGTCCCCCAGCATATGATGGCCACAGGGAGGGGACCAGCCAGTTTCCTCGTCCCTGGGGCAGGGGGTGTTGGGTGCTCTGAGGTGCTGGGCACTCTCCTTTGTCCTGCTTCCCCTAGCAGCCCCGGGGGCTGGTGGGGACCCTCCCCTGCCCGGGGGTGTGGGGATGAGGGAACTCTGCGGCAGGGCTGGGGGCCAGCCTCTGAGGGCTATTGTCACCAGGAAGGAGGCCTGAATGGGGGATTGTTCTGTGTCTCCCTGGGTTGCTGGGGATGTTGGTATTTTGGGTCATTAAACAGCTCTGATTTGGGGGGGGGGTCGTGACCCTGGCAGGGCCTGAATAGCTATTGTCCCTTTTCTTCCCCTGCTGAATGGGAGGCCGGCTGGCCACGCGGGTCTGGGGGAACGCCTGGCATTCCCACACCACCGCCCGGGGACCGACAGATGCCACATGCCGCTGCTGCCGCCCTTCCCGCCTCATGCTGGATTAGGATAAATTATCGTCCCACTCCCCTCCGGCCCTGCTTTGTGCCACCAGTGCCAGCAGCTCTTCTCCCCTGGGTGTCCCTTGGCAGGACAGGAACAGTGGTCTGGCTTCCCTGGGGTGCAGCTGCACCCCATTCTTCATAGCAGGGTGCTAATGTAATTAGTGCTAATAAACAGCTTTTTTTTTTTTTTTTCCTTCCTTTTTAGCCCACTTTCTCGTGGAATGTGTTCTTGTATTGGGTCAGGTGGTGGTGACTGCTCCCAGTGGAGAGGTGGGGGTAAAAAGGACTGAAATTCTTGCAGGCTGTGCAAGACACGTGGTGAAAAGCTGAAGCAGGCGACTTAGTATTTCTTCTCTTTGAGCCTTCTTGTTCCTGCTGCTGGCAGTGGGGCTGAGCCATGGGGGTTTGCATGAGTGTGGAGGCAATGATGCTCATGAGCTCATCCCACCCACTAACAAACAATTCTGGGCACCAGAGGCATGCTCAGGATGGGACCCCAGGGCTGAGCCTGGCCACGTTCACCATTGCAAGGCTCAGAGCTGCTCCTTAAATCTTTTGTTACCCATCCTGCTCTGGACCTGAGAGGGAGATGGGGCCATGGCAGGCACTGCAGGTGTCTGGTGTCTACATGCCTGGTTTCATCAGGCTCCCATGGAGGGCCCTGGGAACAGGTTGGATTGGCCAAGCTTGTGGTTCTGTTTCCCCATCAGGGCTTGGGCTAGGAGGGCAGCTGCCACAGTAGACCAATCTGGCCTTCCCTCACTGGGTGCACCCCAGTGCTATGTGTTATACAGCCATGGGGCTCCCTGGCCTTTCAAGTGTGGCTGTGGCAGGGCAGTTTGCAGGCAGCAGTGTGGGAGCACCAAGGCACAGCAGTCCCCTGGCAGGGCGGAGACAGTGGCTGAGCCAGGAAGCCAGAAAACTGTCCCGTCCCCCTGTGGAACAACTCTGGCAGGGCAGGTTGGGGTGGTTTTGCTCCCTGCCTGCAGGTGGATGCTGGTGCCAGGGCCTGACAACATCTCTCACCCTCCCTCAGGCACTATCCGACCTGTCCGGCGCAGCTACTATGACCCATCTTCAGCGCCAGGCAAGGGAGTTGTCTGGGAGTGGGAGAACGACAGTGGGACGTGGACGCCCTACGACATGGATGTGGGTATCACCATCCAGCGTGCCTACGAGAAACAGCACCCTTGGGTGGACCTGAGTGCCATTGGCTTCTGCTATGTCATCGACTTTGCCACCATGGGCCAGATCAACCGTCAGACCCAGCGCAAGCGCCGTGTTCGCCGCCGCCTTGACATGGTCTATCCTCTGGTCTCAGGCACCCTGCCCAAGTCACAGTCCTGGCCGGCCAGCCCTGGTGCGGCAGCAGCCCCCCCAGTTCCAGCCTGTGCCTGTCCCCAGTGTCTCCTGGTCATGAGTGTCAAAGCCACTGTGTCAGCTGCTGGCCCTGGCACTGCCACCCTGCAGACCCGCAAAGTCCCCCCTGCGCCACCCGCCACCTCCAAAGCAGCAGTGCCAGCCCTGGGGGCCAAGGCACCGGACAGCGTGGCTGCGGTGCGTGGCTCACTGCAGCCGCTGGCAGCCCAAGGCAGCCGGCGCCAGGCAGGCAGCACGCCGGCCTTGAGCTCAGCCAGCACCACCTCCAGTCCCCCTGGCGTGGGCAGCAGCAAAGCTTCCCGCCCTGGCCTTGGCACCCTGAACCGCAGCCACCTCCAGCGCCTGGCCATCGCCCAGTCCCGTGTCCTCATTGCCTCTGGGTGAGTCCTGTCATGTGCGAGCCAGAGGGTAGCTGGGGGAAGAACAGGGTCAGTGTGGGTTTTGGGTTGGTTTTTCCCTGGGGCACAGAGGGGCAGCAGCCCCTGGGGGCTCCCTGCTGCAGGGGTGTGATTGCCCCCGAGCCTGGTGGGAGATCTCATGGTCTCCAGCCTCCCATGGACAGAGAGCTCTGCTGGGCCCCTCGCCTTCCACACTGGTGCCTGGGGACTGAAGCAGGGATGGGGTGGCTTCTGCATCTCAATGACTAGGTTGAGGCTGCTCTTTCTCTCGGTGGCAGGGGATGAGTGGGGGACTGCAAAAGGCCCAAAGAAAAGCCATTCAGAACCTATGAGAAGGGGTCCCTCCAGACCCCCACCCTCTGAAGACATTTTTTTTGAGGGAGTGGGCATTTAATGAGCCTGTTTCTCTCCTTTGTCTGGCTCTGCCATGAGCCTTCTGTTGCAGCCTGCCCCCTTTTCTCTCCCTCTCCATCCTCCCCCTTCCCTCCACTCCTGACCTGGGAAACTTTCCCATGGAAGAGAGCCCTAAGGGGAGGGGAGAAAGAGCTGTGGCAGCAATGTGGCCATAGGAGAAAAGAGTTAAAAACCAACAGACCGGCCCAGGGAGCAGTGACAAAAAGGGGCTGTGAATGGAGGCGCAGGCAGGGTTTCTAAAGAGTGAGAGAAAAGGCGGCAGTGGGGCAGGGGGGCATGTCGCCCCATTGGGGGATTTTCTATTTCCAGCCTGTTCAGTTGCTCAGGCAACTATTGTCTGGCCCTGGGGCCTGTGGGGCTGTGGGTGCCTGCTGCCAGCCCTGATGTGCTCTCTGCTGGCTCTTTGTAGGGTCCCCACTGTCCCTGTGAAGAACCTCACAGGCTCTAGCCCCGTCAACCCAGCACTGGCAGGTGAGGGTGGGGTGACTGATCCCTGTCCCCAGGGGGAAGTCAGCCCCAGCTGGCTGTTTTTGGGGGGAGCATCTGGGGTTCTGGGTGCTGCTGGGTGATCCGTGCCGTTTTGCCCAGGGATCACAGGGATCCTAATGAGTGCAGCCGGGCTACCCGTCTGCCTGACGCGGCCCCCCAAGCTGGTGCTGCACCCCCCTCCTGTCAGCAAGAGTGAGATCCAGTCCATCCCTGGCATCTCCCACTCCTGCCGCAAGACCACCAAGAAACAAGCCAAGAAGGGTAAGAGGAGCTTTTCCACTTGGCTTCCCTACCTGGTTCCCCTATCCCCTCCTGCTGCTCCCAGCAGTGGGTTTCCCCGACGCTGCCATCTAGTTCCTCTGACTCTTGCTCTCCCGCAGGTAAAACTCCAGAGGAAGTACTGAAAAAATACCTGCAGAAGGTGCGGCATCCGCCGGATGAGGTGCGAGCAGCAGGGGCTGTGCTGGGGTGTCCTGGGGTTCTCTGGCCCGGGAGTAGTGACTGGAGACATGGGTGATGGAGAGATGCCATGCAGTGGTCTCCCACTGCCACCTGTGGCTGTGCCCTCTCCCCATCCAGAGAGGGTCTCTGTGCCACATGCAGATGTTGGCCAGCCCTTGCAGCCACCCAGGGGTGGGTGCTGGTCCCTGCGCAAGAGCTGGGCAGCTCATCAGCCCTGTGTCCTTGGTGAGGCTCTGGCTACATCCATCCTTCTGACCCTTCTCTTCCACGCAGGACTGCACCATCTGCATGGAGCGCCTCTCTGCACCCTCTGGCTACAAGGGACCCCAGATGGCCATCAAGCCTGACCTGGTGGGCAAGCTGGTGAAATGTGGCCATGTCTTCCACCTCCACTGCCTGGTCGCCATGTACAACAATGGCAACAAGGTGTGAGACTGTGGCCCTGCTTGGTGGCTGTGCTGAGGTCCACCTGCCCTCAGCAGGGCAGTGCACAAATCCTGGCGTGCTGGAGGGCTCAGACCTCCCTGCTCTGGTAGGGAGTTTAGTTTTTAGCAGCAGCAGGACTTCAGAACCATTCGGTCACAAACCAGGGTCGTGCAGGTGTTTTTCCCCCACTGTGCCCAGTTTTGCATCCCTGCTTTCCTCCTCCTTAGTGAACTTTGACCCCTGTGTGTTTGAGCAGAGCTACCTGGTGTCTGGTGCCAGGCAGTGCTTTTTCAGCAAGTGCTGGGTTTTCCTGAGCCCCCTTGTGCTCGAAGTCCTGAGGAAAATGAGCCGTTGTGCTCAAAGTCCTGAGGAAAATGTGTTACTGCGTTTCACGTGGCTTGAGGAAATTGAAATATTTCCTACCTTTTCCTCTTTGAAATAAAAATGTAAAAAAAACAAGGCAGAGGTAGGGAAAGTAGCAAGGACTGTGAAACTGGTGAGGAAGAGAAACACAGACCTTGGGGGTTTGGTTGCAGTTGGGTCAGTGTAGCAAATTTCTCCAAGCCCTACCCCTGCATCCCAAGTGCTTTTGAAATTACTGATTTCATGAGAAAACCAATTGCCTGCGCTGCTCAGGGATGACGTGTCCAGTCTGGCTCATTGTTGGGAGATACCGGTTTCATTATGTTCCCCTCTTCTCTCAGGATGGAAGCCTGCAGTGTCCCACCTGCAAAACCATCTATGGGGTGAAGACGGGGACACAGCCCCCAGGGAAGATGGAATATCACATTATCCCTCATGCGCTGCCTGGCCACTCTGACTGCAAAACCATCCGCATCATCTACAACATTCCCCCAGGGGTGCAGGTGCGTCCCAGCTCCATGCCCAGTGGGGTATGTGTATGGTGCCCTGTGGGAACTGGTGGCCCTTGTCATGCCTTGGCTTGGGGCTCTGGGTTCAATGATGTCTCAGGAGCTGCATGTCCATAAGGATGTGGGAAGTCTGGGGTACATCTGCATGGAAGCGTTGGCCCTGTCTGCTTAAATGGCACGGTAGCAGGCGGTAGAATTTAGGGTCACTGTGCTGGATCATGTCCACCTAGCACAGAAGCAAGCAGCTCTGCATCCACCGAGGTTGTGGGTTACCTTATGCCCAGAGCATCCCTCTGAGATTCAAAAGGATTTTGTTCTTCCAATCCACACGCTGCAGGGACCGGAGCACCCAAACCCTGGGAAGAGCTTCACCGCCCGTGGCTTCCCGCGGCACTGCTACCTGCCAGACAGCGAGAAGGGCAGGAAGGTAAAGGGCAACCGGGGTGGCCCGAGCCAGCCAGGGCACACTCAAGGGTGTATTGAGGCGGAGAGGGAGCAAGCAGCTACTTGGAGCATGGGGAAAAGCAGATACGGCTTATGTAGGCAAATCTGGGTGGAGGTTTTCCCCACAGCCCACCCATCATGCTCTGCAGGGGCCCAGCGATGTTCCTATGCACTGGGGGAGCTCTGCAGCCTGGTCCACTATTCCGGTTGGGGTAGGACCCTGTGCTGGGATCCCAAGCTCCCTGGAGGGCTTGGCTGTGGGTTGCTCATATTGCCGGGGTGTACCGGGATGATCAGGCGTGCCCTGCGCAGAAGTGGGTTCTCCCTCCAGTGTTTGCCTTGCTGCCTGCTCCAGCTCTCCCCTCCACAGGTACTGAAGTTGCTGCTGGTAGCCTGGGACCGGCGCTTGATCTTTGCCATTGGGACCTCCAGCACCACAGGCGAGTCAGACACGGTGATCTGGAATGAGATCCACCACAAGACAGAGTTTGGCTCCAACCTCACTGGCCACGGCTACCCCGACATCAACTACCTGGACAATGTCCTGGCTGAGCTTGCGGCCCAGGGCATCACAGAGGAGAGCCTGGCACAGGAGAAGGACTGAGACCACAGCAGTGAGGCCAGGGAAGGGGCACCTGTGCCACTCCCGAGGATAAACCTGCTGAAGAAACCCACCTGGGTGCTTTGCAGGGAGCACCTGGGACCCCTGCTCCTGGTGGCACCCACCCAGTGAGAGCATCTGTAGACTGGCTGGGAATCTGAGAGAAGGTCTTTTTGGACATCCCCTTTGCTCCTGTGGGAAAGCCTTGCCCCACAGAGCTGCAGGGCTTTACGCTGGCCCTGCCATCCCCTCTGGCTGGTGTCCTGTCCCCCCTGCTGCTGTGCCAAGGGCTTGGGGGGTGCCAGATTCCCCTCTCTTCTCGTCCATGGATGGTCCGAGCTTGGCTTGATGCCGCTGGCATCCATCTGGGGTTGGGACCTGGCCTGGGGTGGGAGTGGGCCCATGGGAGTCCCCCTTGCTCTGCCTCTTCCCTCAGCCATCTGTTTGTTCATTTGTCCTGTCTGGTACCTCCCCACTGGTCTCCTGTGTCCATGGAGGTTGGGGGCCCCGGTCTGCTCTGGCTGGCCCCTAGCCCTGTGCCCTCTTCTCCTCTTGGCTGTGTCTGAGCTGTGCCCTGCAGGGTTCCCTTGTCTGGGCTGCCCCCATCCTGTGCCAGGGAGGGAAGGGCAGGGTGGGGGGAGAGGGGGAGCATGTTTCCTGGCCCATCTCCTGCCCTCCGTTTAGTGGGTTCCTTGAACTGTTCGTATGGGGGAATCCCCGCAGTGAATTTTTATATACCTCGTGTTTGGGGGTTTTCGTATATATGTACATATAGGTGGTGGCATTCTGTGAGGTTGCCTGGGGGGGAGAATGCGATGCTGTGGCCAGGCTTGGTGGCACTTGGGGTGCTGAGGGGACAGGGGCAGCACTGCTCCCCTACTGTGGAGACCCCCCACCCCAAAGAGGGTCTGTGCCCCATGGTGGGGCTGTCACCTGTGGGTCACAGTATCACAGTATGCTAGAGATTGGAAGGGACCTCGAAAGATCATCTAGTCCAATCCCCCTGCCGGAGCAGGAACACCTAGATAGTGTTACACAGGAATGTGTCCAGGCGGGTTTTGAATGTCTCCAGGGAAGGAGACTCCACAACCTCCCTGGGCAGCCTGTTCCAGTGTTCCGTCACCCTCACTGAGAAGAAGTTTCTTCTCAAGTTTAAGTGGAACCTCTTGTGTTCCAGTTTGTACCCATTACCCCTTGTCCTATCATTGTTTGCCACTGAGTAGAGCCTGGCTCCATCCTCGTGACACTCCCCCTTTATATATTTATAGACATGGGGCCAGGTGCAGGTGGGAATCATTCCCCTTCCTGCTAGGTCCCAGCACCATCCCCAGAGACCCCTGAGAGGGGGAGGCAGCCGGCAGTTAATTGTCACTGGTTTTGGGCTGGGGCCAGGGAGGGTGGCATGGGAGGACATTATGGGTGATGGGGGGTTGCATGGGCATCTTGGGGTTCCTGCCAGGCCTTGGGCACTTAATAGGGCCTCTCAGAGCCACCTGTGAGAGGGTGCTGAGGAGGTGCCGGCAGTTCTGGGGGTCCTGTGGGGCACTCCCTGTCGGTGGGGTTGACTGTGTTCATGTCCCTGTCCCGCAAGACCCTGGGATTTGAAAAGTGGGACCCTGGGGTTGGAGAATGGAGCGGGAGGCAGTGCCCACCACTGCCCATGCTGACCCCAGTCCTGCACTGCTGCTCCCAGGGCTTTGGGGCTTCCTTGCCCGTTTTGTTGCATTCCCCTCCTGGTGTTCCTGAGGGGTCACCTCCCCCCCCCCCGTCCCTGGGGACAAAGCTGCGGCGGGGAGGGGGGGCCGTCCTGCTGTGCATCGTTCTGTTGTCGTGGCTGTTTTAACTCTCCCCTCGTGGGGGTGTGTTGGTCCCCGCCGGCCGCCCCACGGAGCGAGGGCTGGGGGGTCAATAAAGCAGATGGCGGGGATGCTCGCTGTCCCTGCACGGCCTGGCCTCTCTGTTGTCTTCTGTCCGTCGTCTGTGTGGCCAGGTGAGCGAGGGGGCACGGCAGGGAGGGCCCGGCACCCTTCGTCCCCTGATGCCCCTTTGCATGGGGCTGACCCCAGCCTTCATTAGCATGGGATGGTATTTTCTACCTCAAGGAAGAAAACCTCTTTCCGCAGGAAAACCCCGTTTTGGGCGGCTCTGCAGCTGGGGGAGCTGCTGCAGTGCCATTTCTCTTCCACCGCAGCCCTGGACTTCCCCCCTGCAGAGAACTCGTGGCTGGAGCTATGCAAAACCCTCCCATGGCCTGGGGGAGCCCCCTCGCCCGCGCTGTCACCATCACACAGACTCTTCACAACGTGACTTTTTTCCTTTTTTTAATGCTGTGTTCCCTCCACAGTTTCTGGCTGAAATAAAACTGATCCGTGCCTCTGCGCGTGTGTGTATATCTATCCCGATAGATATACATGGAGACAGGGGTGCCCTCCCGCTGCAGCAGGCAGAGGTCAGTGGCTAATGCTGCGCGTGTCTCCATGAGGTCGCCCTGCTCCCTCCTGTCCCACAGGGAAGTGCTGCTCCTGCCGTCTGTGCTGGCCCTGGGGGCTGCAGGTCCCGGGGGCTCTCTGCAGGGCTGGGGCTCTTCTCCCCAGGAGTCAGGCTCCTGCACGCATCCTGACCCGGTTTTTACAAGGAGCAAGTCTCCACTGTGGATGTGCCCATGCACTGCTGGTGTTGTGTGTGTGGGAGAAGGGAAGGTTGCACAGCTTTCACTGGCTTTTTGGGGCCATCCTGGGGGGAAGAAGATGTCTGTGCTGAGGGTTTCTTTTTCCCTGGGTGCCCCAGCGTCCTGAGCAGCTTGTTGAAGGGTACACTGGGTCCCCTTTTTCTGGTTTTGAGATGGGGGCACAGCTGGGGCATGGCTGCAGTGGAGGGGAAGCTCATTTCAGCTCTGAAGCGGCAGAAACCCCAGGACTGGTTGGAAGGGGAAGATGCAGTCATGGAGGTGCAGGGCCTGGTGGAGGGATGTCATGGTGTGTGCTGGTGACAGGTTGACCCTGGGACTTGGCCTCTGAGGCCAGCTGGGGACAGGTCTGAAAGGCCATGGAACCTCTCAGGAGCTTGATGCTGGAGCTTGGGGATCTGGAGGGCAGGAGCATGTGTTACCCCATGGACAGGTGAGCCTTGGTTCTCTGTGGGGACAGGGACCCTCAGCTCCAGGGGGCTGCTGGTGCTGCACAGCTTTGCCTGTGGCAGGGGTGCTGGGTAAAGGGCTTGGCCTGGGTTTGGGGGACAGTTGGGATGGGAGGGGACATGGGATGGGGACATGGGACGGGGACATAGCAGTCATGCCAACAGCCCCTCCAGCTGTTGCTGGTACCCCTTACCCACAGAGAGCACAGTCCTGTCTTCCAGGCTTGCAGCAGGGCTGTCCCCTTCGCCCACTGCACGGTATCCCTTTGCCTTGTACCTCCAGCGGCTGTAGCAGACTGTCGCCAGGATGGTGGCCAGCCCCGCCAGCACTGCTGCAGTGATGCCGGCCACTTCTCCCCCTGACAGCCCCCGGCCCCTCACCATCTCTGTTGCGTGCTGGATTTCTTCTGGCTGGACTGGCCGCCACGTGTGGCTCTGCCCATCCCTGACCCAGGCGCTGCCCCCATCCGCGCTGCTCACCAGCACGGTGTCGATGGCCGGCGGGCTGGTGGGGGGCCGGGTGAAGGGGGGCAGTCGGGCAGGTGGCAATGAGCCCCCTGTGAGGATTCCAGCCTGGACGCAGTATTCCACCTGGCAGCTATTGCTGATGAGTGCCAAGTGCTGGCTGAAGCCTGGGGGGCATTTCTTGTCATGGAAGTTCTTGGCAGTGCCCTGCTGCTGCCTTGCCCAGGGGTTCCCTGCCTGGCAGCTAAAGAAACCCCCAAAGGGCACTGCATACTGGCTACCCCCCTCGTAATCCTGGCTCACGCACACCATAAGCTCATCAAAGAGCTTCAGTGGGAAGTACCCCAAGGGGCAGGATTGGGCACCGGTGATGGGGTTGACGCTCTGGCTGCTGAACAGCCCTCCAAAGAGGTATCCCAAGCCTGGGGCCACTGTCCTGCTCGCAGCACACCAGTAGGCTCTGAATTGCACCCGGGAGAGCCAGAAGACATCCTGGCACTTGCGGTGACAGAAGATGCCCAGGGTGCACTTTTTGTGGCACTCCAGATGGCTGTGACCTTCCTCCTGCTCCTGCATGCCCAGCAGCACTGCAGTGTAGGTGCTGGGGCAGGAGAATGCTCCAGTGAGGGGGTTCCTCTGCTCCAGCCCCTGACAGAGCATGCTAGTGTCGGGGCCGGCCAGCCCAGTGCACTCCTGGAAAACTCCCCCAAAGGTGAAGTTGGTCATGGCACCCTCGCAGGAGCCATCATCGGTGTTGGCATGGAAGTTGAAGTTGGGTGAGGTGGCATCAGTGCAGCCCGGGTAGGTGTTGAAGGTGTAGTAGCGGCGGATGGCCATCTCCACATGCCTGGCCAGCTTCTTTACTGTGGGGGACGGCAGCTCTGGCAGGGTGCTGGGCTTGATGAAGAAGTACAGGGGCAGCCCTGAGCGGTCGAGAGCCACCAGCTGGTTTCTGATTCCCTCCTGCCAGGTCTTGAGGGTGATGCCTGGGTAAAACGGGGTCCCGCCAATGCTCTCTACCCTGGAGCTGGTGCGGTTCTCCAGATACTGCTTGGTGAAGCCAGAGCTGATGTTCAGGGACTCCTCGCTTTTCACACTGATGATGCTGTGGAAAGCCACACCGGCTGAGGCTGTGACAGCACTCCGTTTGGCCGAGCTGTCTTTCAGGAAATTTGCCTTGATCTGATCCTCCTGCACCAAGCTTGCTCCAGCGTCCACAGACGTGATGGTGTGGGTGCCGTAGTTAAGCACCAGCACCTCAGCCAGAAAGTCAGCCATGCGTGTTTGGTTGTTCTCCAGGTGGCTGGCGATGGTCAGCAGCTGCTTCTTGAAGCCCTTGTCTAGGACTGCCCCTGGGTCGACCTTGGCTGTGTAAACCAGGTTCCTGACTTGCACGCGGGTGGTGACGGCGCGGTCTTTCACTTGGTGGGTCTTGGTCCTCTGAAAGTCATACGAGAACTTGCCATTGATGGAGGAGAAGAGGAACAGCTCCAGGTTGATGGAGGCAGAGGTGATGCTTTGGTAATCTTTCCAGGACTCGATGATCTCAGAGTTGATGTCCAGGTTGCTCTGCTTGCGAGGGATAGTGAAGACCTCATCTGGAATGATGTAAGATCCATCTTCTGTGGTCTTACACAGTGAGTAGCCCAGATTGATGACTTTGCCCATATCCAAATTCCTGAGGTTATCCCAGCCGCCCCCTGGCAGCACTTCCAGACCTGGGAGCTTCAGGGTCTTCTTGCACTCCGGAAGCCTGGTGGAGGGGGACAGCTCCTGGCTCAGCTCAGCCCCTGTCACCAAAGCCACCAACATGGAGGCCAGCAGGACCCCCACCAGCAGCCAGCCCATGGCCGAGCCGGCACGGGGCCTTTGCCAGACGCCTGGGTGCTGGGGCTGCAAAGGGGAAATGAGCTGCTGGGGCTGTAGCTGTGGGTGTTTCCTCCTTTGGGGGTTGAACAAATGTGAAAGGGAAAGGAGAAGTGAGAACTGAGGACTGTGAAGAATGGCCAAGTGGAGCTGATCAAGTGGGTGGGGAGTAGCATGCAGAGGTGCCCAGAGCCCAGAGCCTCCCTGGTGTGAAAGCTCCCTGTCCCTAGGAAAGCTGCTTTGCAAGGGATGGAACAGGGAGAAACCTCTCATCTT